GAAGGCGGATGCAATATTATAAGAGAAGCGAGCTCACAAATTTATTTAGGATGCTCGTTTACTTTTTGCCCTTGTTCGATCGTCGTTATTTTCAAAATACATTTTTCTTTCTCTTATTGTCGAGTAAGGAGCACTTTTTTTATTTCAACGACTTCAAATAATATTGCAAGACAGGAAGAATCCTCTCTCCCATTGCCTTGGAAAATAAAAAGGTTAGGTGAGAAGCATAAAAATCTCATTAACCAAAGAAAATCATATAGAAATATACTGAATTTTATAGAACCTACTTTGTTAAGGTTTGAGATTCCATCTTAAAATATCAACTTTATTAAGAGGAGTAACACAATCATTTATAAGTTGTTTATGTTTACATCTTTATGTGATGTGGAATTCTATCCCTTAACATGCCCCCGTAAGATGACGGCTCTTTTGAACAGACCAATCTTAAAATTCGTATGCTCACTTTTGGAGTCTTAACCGGATCAAATTGCTTGTTAGAGCTTAATGAACTCTGATACATTGTTAAGAACTGTGGTTCTATTTTAAAGGGTCAACCTTATTAAGAAAAGTAACGCAATCCTCTATAATTTGGTTTATATTTACATCTTTATTCGATGTGAGATTCTATCCCTTAACACTTTCCCCGTAGAATTTTTAGTTTAAAAACTTCCCTCTAAATTAGTCGTCATTTATTAATGCATTATAACTTATAATACATTTGATATAATCTAATATTTTAAACTTTTAAATTAAGTAGTTCAATGTAATAACAGAGCGGGTATACGTTCTACGTTTAAATTTAGTTGCCACCCATTTATTGAAAAATGTACATGTGTAAGACTTAAATGAGAAACAAATAATTTCATTTTCATGTGATAAATACACACACACACACGCCCTAAAAGGGACTTGTTCAAAAACTAGACAAGTCATGAATTATGATGGCCAAAATTATTTTGTGAGGTGCACAATTTGTTTGTGGAAAAATACAAAAATTCTTTAATTTTTCTTGCTAAACAAGACGTGCAAGCACTAGTATGATCCAAAAATGATTTAAAACCTAATCCTCGTCACAAAAACCTATCAACTCCTTAGTTGTCAATTAAGTTATTTTAAGTGATCAGACCTCTTAAATGTATGAATATAAATTTATTTAGAAAAAAAGTTTTTGCGGATGAGTATTTACTCTTTTAATCTCTATTTGTGACTTTTCTCAATAGATAAATTGATCTTTGGTTCATTTCTCCATTCTGACTAGTAAATCATTAAGCCCATGTTTGATTTGTTAAGTTTTCCATGGAAAATGGAAAGTATTTTTCTACTTCCCACTTTTGTGCTGTTTGATGGCACAAATTTTCAAAGGAAAATTCCCCAACCCCCACCCCCCTCCTTTTTTTTGGCAATGGAAATAAATTTCATAACCAGTCGTAAAAAAAATTTCACTTTAATGGACAATTTTCATGTAAAATGAAACCAAACGAACACTAAACTTTGATGAAAAAATGGTGCAAAAATAGTTTTCACTCAAACTTTTTTTTTTTAACTTTTTGGAAATGATAACAAATTT